GTAGTGCCAAATCCAACCCATTGTCCTTTCAGCGGGTGAATGGTTAAGCGTGTGGGAATATCTTTTCAAAACCCCCGGAAGTATTATCAGGCAAATAAGAAAGGGACAAAAAAAAACTGGGCCCAGGCAGCAAGCGGGGAAACCCACGACCCTGTGACGTTTTTCGCAGGCCACTTGGGAACAAACAGGGCGGAAGGGGGGGGCATCCTTTTGAGCCCAAGGGGTTTCGTGAGGCCAGGGGGTTACAACCATAGTAAGGGACCCCGTATCTGCAAAAAAACAAAACAAAAACAAACAAACACAAAAATAAATTTTTAAAATTTAAAAAAGGAAGAAGAAAGGGGGACAGGGCCGGGCGTGTGGACCTTTCATTTTGCCTGTATGTTTTTCCCCTGCACTTTGGGGGGAGGGGCCGAGGGGCAGGGGGCATATCCAGCCTGAGGTCCAGGAGTTTCAAAAGAACCGGCTGGGGCCAAAAAAGCATGGGTAGAAACCTGGTTCTTACTAAAAACTACAAAAAAAAAAGTTTTAGCGTAAGGTATTGGTGGTGGGTGGCCTGTAAATTTCCCCAGCTACTTCGGCGGGAGGTGACGCAGGAAATCGGCTTGAACCTTTGGGGAGCGAGAGGTTGCAGTGGGCTTTGAGGTTTTCTGGCCACTTGCACTCTTAGCCTGGGCAACAACAAAACAGCGAAAACTCTGTCTAAAAAAAAAAAAAAAAAAACAGCCTGGGTTTTCTGCGGGGGGACCTTCCCACCACCTGTATCCCCAAGGTACTCTGGGAGGGGGCCGAGGGGGCGTGGATCCCACGGGAGTCAGGGAATTGATGGACCCCGGCTTCCCTGATAAAACGAGGGTTGACAAACCCTGTGTTTTCTTTAACTAAAAAAAATGGCACAAAAAAAAAATAGCCCCAGGGCATGGTTGGGCCAAGGGTGGCCTGTAGTCCACAGCTTATTGGGCAGGCTGAGGCAGGGAGACATGGGGGCGTCGGAAACCCAGGAGGGGGGTGGATGTTGGCAAGTGGAGCCGGATTGTGGGCCACTTGGCGCCACTCGCCTGGGGCGGGACCAAGAGGGGAGGACTCCTTCCAAAAAAAAAAACACAAAGAAAAAAAGACCCCCAAAGCTATTTGAATACATTGTGGGTTTTAATGTGGGGTGTGGAATTTCTCGAGGGGGAATTTTTTTGTTTGTTTGAAGACGGAGTTTCACTTCCCTTGTTGGTTTTCAGGGCCTGGGAATTTGTAAGTGGCGTGACCTCAGTCACGAACCTCCGCTCCAGGTCTCGAAGCAATTCTCCGCCTTAGCCTCCCAAGTAGATGGGATACAAGCGCCTGGCCCACCACACCCAGCTAATTTTTTGTATTTTTTAGTAGAGATGGGTTGTCACATGTAGCCAAGGCTGGTCTCGAACTCCTGACCTCAGGTGATCCACCCACCTTGGCCTCCCAAAGTGCTGGGATTACAGGCATGAGCCATCGCACCTGGCCTCAAGGAAATTATACTGAGTGGAAATAACCAATCCTAAAAGGTTATATACTGAATGATTCCGTTTATCTTATCTACCACTCTTGAAATAACAAAAGTCTAGAAATGGTGAACATATTAGTGGCTCAGTGGTTGCCAGGGGCCGCAGAGAGAGGGGGAGAAGAGTGTAGTTATAAAAGGATAACATGAGGGACTCTTGGGATGATGCAAATGTTCTGTATCTTTTTTTGTTTTGTTTTTGTTTTTTGCTTTCTCCTGTCTGATGGAAATGTTCTGTACCTTGACTGTGGTAGTCGGATACATGAACCTGCACACTGGATAAAACTTGGTAAAATTATACACACACACAGACACACGCACCAGTGAGTACAAGTAAAACTGGGGAAATTTATGTAAGATCAGTAGATTGGATCAATGTCAATATCCTGACTGTATCATAGTATAGTTTTGCAAGATTTTTCTGTTGAGGGGAACTTGGTAAAGGGTGCATAGGATCCCTATGATTTCTTCTAATTGCATGTCAGTCAGTCTACAATGATCTCAAAACAAAACAAAAAAACAGTTTAGGCCGAGCGTGGTGACTCACACCTGTAATCGCAGCATTTTGGGAGGCTGAGGCAAGTGGATCACTTGAGCTCAGGAGTTCAAGACCAGCCTGGGCAAAACCCCATCTCTACTATATATATATATAAAAAACAAATCTAAATGTGGACATTCATAGCAGCTTGATTTGTAGTAGCCAAAATCAACCCATGTCCTTTCAGCGGGTGAATGGTTAAGCTGTGATATCTTCAAACCCCAGAATACTACTCAGCAATAAGAAGGGACAAACTGGCCAGGGCAGCGACACACCTGTGATCCTAGCACTTTGAAAAACCAGGCGGAAGCATCACTTGAGCCCAGGGGTTCGAGGCCAGGCTTACAACATAGTAAGACCCCGTATCTGCAAACAAACAAAACAAACACACAAATAAATAAAATTCTAAAAAGAAAGAAAGGACAGGGCCGGGCGTGGTGACTCATGCCTGTAATCCCAGCACTTTGGGAGGCCGAGGCAGGCATATCACCTGAGGTCAGGAGTTCAAGACCAGCCTGGCCAACATGGTGAAACCCTGTATCTACTAAAAATACAAAAAAATTAGCTAGGTATGGTGGTGGGTGCCTGTAATCCCAGCTACTCGGGAGGCTGACGCAGGAAAATCGCTTGAACCTGGGAGGCGGAGGTTGCAGTGAGCTGAGATCATGCCA